CCATTTTGTTGTGTGTGTGCAGCATCATTACTCTTGTGTGAAGAAATATTTTGGATTTAGGCACACAGCCATATTGATAACATCTCTGTAAGAAGGTGAAATTTAACACACAGTCACAAGTCATCTTAAATCCTGAAAGCTAAAGGCTGAGCTTTTAATTGGGGATTTTCTTTTGCACCTTAACCTCATGCCATCCATCTGCTTTTGCTCTCCTACCACAAACTAGCATGTCAACTACTTCTACTTATCCTTCTTAATTAACTTGTGCTCCCTATTTCAGCTCGTTTTGGCCCTGCTGATCCAGAAAAGCAGGGTTTTTGCGGAGCAGAGCAGAAGCAGTGTAGCTGCTGCTGCATGTTCCAGGATGTGATCTGTTAACAGCTGATCATCTGCGGCTGCCTCTGTGGAAGTTCCTAATTCACTGAAATAAAAATTTTCCCCTGGACACGGACACGAGCTGCTGCTGCTCTCTTCTCTGCTTGCAATGGGTGCATACTGAAGCGTGTATGTACCACAATGCAGGAGCTTCTGGCACAAAGCAATGCAGAAAATTCCCTATTTTGCCATCTTCCATTGAGGCAAATGAATGTACTGACTACGTGTCATCTTCAGAGTACCTTCATGTTAGGGGAACAGGAGACTGAAATGATACGTCTGGTTTTGTGAAATTAATTTTGTTTTGGGACAGGAGTCCACATGGATTGTTTCAACCTCAAATTAATGCTTCCTGTAATACATGGCAATTATGACAAGTTCTAGCCACACTAGGGAGGGTGTGTATGTGGTCAAGGAACTGCGGTTCCTTGAGTTCACCCTTTTTGTCGTTTAGTAGAGACACTGAGGATTCCCTTCACTACAGGATTGATCCATACGGTCGACACCCTATTTAGGCTTACTCAAATGAGCTCATCCTTTACACACAGCCATACCCATGTTATGATGAACTCATTCTTTCTGCAACTGTTTATACTTGTGAAGGGAGAGCTCTGAGCAAACATGAGGCAGGATTCACTTTCTGTCAATTACAGAGAAACTGTTCCTCCTTCAGGAAGAAACTTTTGGAATAGCACGGAAAGACTCTACTTGGATGTTTTGGGTTTTTTTAATTATTATTTTTTCCCCTCTCTTCTGATTTTTTTTCTAGAAATAAAAGAAGTTTCCCAACAGAACGTGATTACAGTCTGCATTGTAACTTAATTTCTATTCTATTGTGTAAGATGGACCCAAACCTGGGTGAGAGGTTTCTCTGAGTGTTTGGTAGGGCCAAGTTAATATTAGGCCTAATATAACCGTGTCTCTAAATTCGCTCTCATATGTCCTGTCAGGCATGCTTTACAGCAACAGATCGCCTGGAGTCTGAATCTTTTCAAAGCCTGCATCTGAGAGGTAGTATGGCTGGTAGAAAGATGGGATATGAATTCTGCATTGCCATGTTCAGATCAGACTTACCAATCGTGTCAGTGAGTTTCTGTGTTCAGACATGCTCAAACTCCAAGTCACCAGTGAAGGCAATAAGCCATTGTAATCACTGGAATAGCAGCCATTTGGCTTGAACATGTAAACACTGACATATAAACATTTCCATTGGATGGAGAAGTTTATCAGCAAGATGAGACTTCTGCATTTCTTAGAGATGACACTATTTTTTCTTCAGAAAATCTAGGACAGTAGAGTTTTGCCTGCATTGACTGTATAGTGAGAGGAAAAAGGAGGGTTGGAGGAATGTTTTTATTGCGCTATAAGGAAAGAATAACAAAAGCAGTTTAACTCTGGAATTTTGCCAGAAAATGTTTCAGTTATCAGATTAATCTTTGCTCACTCACTGCAATATGGAAGTAAAGAGCTCATCTTTCATTACAGTTGTAAGGCTGTTTTGCTAAATTTTTGTGAAGTCTGACTTCTTATTTTGAAGGCAGGGTGTGTCTGTGTTTTCTGTTGTTCCGTCTTCAAGCTGGATTGAAATTCTATGGGGTGACTGAATAAGGATAATGATAGAAATACATTATACCTGCAGCATCTCTTAGCTTAATGGTATGCATATGAGAAAAAAAAGTTAATGACCGTCCATGCCCATTGCAAGCCAGTTTATCTCTTACTTGGGGTTCGGATGACTAAGCAGTAAATCGCAGGATGCAATACTTTAACCACCTGCTAAGACTGAGGAGGAACTTCCTTGACAAATAGGACTGAAAGTTTAGAAGTGGTCTTTTATTGGCTAGAGTATGTGGAATAAAACTGTAGTTCTTAGTAGAGAAAGAAAGACAAATATATGCTGTCCTGGAGGATGAGTTATGTGTGGGAGGACAAGGATCTCTGGACACCTGAGAAGGCTAATGGAAGCACTGGAAACTCAGAAGAGGTAAATAAACTGAGGCAAGGAAGTTATTGAAATAATTTGTCCTGTTTTCTGAGTGTGTTTGCATGTACACATATACACACGCATGTTCTTTTCTGAAGGATATTGCCAAGTTTTTTCAAAGATGCCCAAAATCACTGAGTGCATGTGAGTATATATATTTTTTTAATCTTCATGCATAACGTAAGAGATAAGACTTCAAGGTCTTCCTTATTGTGTTAGGTGACATGTCTGTCCAGCCCGGTGTCTTGTGTTGGCTAGTTGCTGGTAATGAGTGCCTTGGAAGGGATGCAGAACTGGTGGTGTACAGAGAGATTCTTCCCCCTTCTGCCTCACCCTGCCAGCTGATTAGGGATAGCCTGGTATATTTTTCAGACCTGGAATATTCAGCAGTCTGAAGTTTTCCAGAGAAAAACCTGCTGAAGAAAATGCAAAGTTTTTCTAACTGGTTATGGTGTCCCACTTCTGTAAAAGACTAGCAGATGCCCTGTACCAGGTGGTAGGACAGGCGACCAAGAAAAGGCTCAGTGTTGGAGCCGTCTTCACTCAAATGAGGTTCAGGAGAACATGGATTTTAAGTGCTGGAAATTAAATGCAGCAGCATGATGACTGTCCAGCTTTATCAGTGCTGTTGCAATCTTGAATTGGAAGAGAATATCCAGTGAGCCAAGATTACTGGAAATTAGGAATCAAGTCAGCAGAAATCTTCAGAAGAAATGTGTCTCTAACTTCTCCACACTCTCATGTGTGAAAAGCGGTTTCAGGGGTACCCGTGTCTCAGAAAAACAAAACAAAAACCCCAACAACCAAACCCAAAACCAAACCAAATCCCAAGTAAAAAAAAAAAAAAAAAAATCCCACTCAAAACCAAATTATGCCAAAAACTTGCACTGGAGTAAAGATTTAATATATGGATAAATTTTACTCATTTGTAATTTGTGATTTTAAAAACCCAACACTGTCACCAGCAAACATTCCATACCTAAATTTTGTTTTTATGTGCTTAATGCTATCAGCAGAATGCTCCAGCAAAATTATTTTATCAGCTTATATAATCAGCCACTTTGTTCATCAGATTGGAATATTGAACTCTTAACAGTGCTTAATTGTTTACTAACTTTGTGGAAGACTTTCCTTGACTTCTTGAGGCCTTTTTGCCTTGCCGTTTAGGAAGTCTAGGATCCGCACTTCTGTAAAAAGTACCTTGTAAGTATATACTTAGTTTTGTAGCCTTGCGTCATTATCATATTTTAATTACAGTTGTATCAGTTTGGCTGCTTTATTAAAGAAAAAATAATTACTTGTTATGGATTTTCATATTTAATTATTTAAGTGGTTGTAAGTAATTCTAAATATTGACTTGATGACAAATACTGTAAAAGGTGGCAGAATGACTTCTTGATTCTGTGGTAGAGCCATGATTAATGTGTGCTGACACATTGTATTCAAAGAAAACTTGAAACACTCCTTGAAAGGGATTATAAGGGAAGCCTCTAAAGTAGTAGTGTCCTTACTTTTTAAAATTTGTATCAGTATTGTAAATCCCTTCTGCAAATTGTCAATTGGAGGAGAGTCAAACGAGGAGATGTGCGATTCATCACCTGTAGCTGCATCTAAACTGCTTCCTTCTTTTTATTTGTTGGGGATCAGGGATCTTTTTCAAATTTTGTGATACGCTGATTATCCAAGTGTCTAGCTGTGGCCATTCTTTCTTTAGAAGAGACTAATCAGTCTAATTGGCCTTATTCCTTCTGATGTTAAAGTAGTAGACAGCTCATTCTATTTTTCTTTTTTTTTTCCCCACTCCAGCTATGTTAATGCTTGTGTCCTAAGTCCATTTGGTCTGAAGTTTGTATTTGGGGAGGTGGCTGGGTTTCTTTTATTTTTTCTTATTGACAGAATATCATGGCATCTCAACTCCAGTTCGGTGCTTCTGGTGTCTAGGAGGCCCTAAAGTCTGAAAAGCTCAGGGGAGGAAATGGAATGGAAACTTTGTGTTAAAACCTTCATATGATGATGTGTATTTTTTTTTAAGGTGGCTAAGGAAGTAGGAGTGAAAATATGGCAACTACAGATCAACTTCTGACCCTTTTTATTGCCGTTTGAGACAACAGTCTTCCAGAGCCTCTGAAGTAATTCTTTCTTCCCCTGCCCCCCCCCGCCCCCCCCAATGGGATGCTCATTGCATTTCCCATTTCAAATCTCTGAAATGTACTTTTTTTTTTTACCTTTTGCTGTTTTTGTTTGGATGGATAACACGGTGTAAGAAACTAGTCATAACAGTCTCCAACTTCTACTATCCAATGTTTAAGAATTATTTCAGTACAAGGGTCGGAAGATGGAGTGTATCATTTGGTAAATATTCTGGCTTAGTAAATCTCAAACAATGCATTCTTCAGAACTGACAAATGAATAGTCCTGAAGTAAAAGTTGTGCTCTGCAAGTAGCATGCAGATGTGTATACAAGTGTGGCTGTCTTTATGGTATTTCAATCTAACTTTGTCTAATCTGTTGTCTATGCCAAATGAATTAAAGAGTATATGAAAAAAGAATACTAGATGAGGGACTTTGCTCCTTACTCTTAAAGGAGGAATTTTTTATTTTTTAAGATCTCTGAATATTTGTGTCTTGTTTTCCCTTTCAGTGACTGGGGAGAGAGCTGCTGGCATGGAAGTGAGCTGGGTTTGTCCGTGGGAACTGTGAGTAAGGTATGTATTGCGTTCTCTTTGCTGTCTTTAGTCTGCACCTTTTATTCTTAAGTACTGAATTGAAAATTGCTTGTGGTGACTAAACATGAGGGATAGTAGTGTGTTAGAGATGGAGTATTTTGAATTTGTGCAAGTGTCAGGTGTGACAGCAGTCCAGCAAGGACTTTATCGTGTAAGAGCACACTTGTCCCACAAATGGCACACTTGTCCCCTTTTCACTGCTGCCTAGCAATTAGTCAGGCTTGTCACAAGTTAGCTAGTACTGTGTTGCAAACTTTTTTCAGTGTTACTGATACGTGGCTCCCTAGGCTGATTTATCCAAGTATATAAAGGCAGACAATTGTATCTATACAGTAAAATTGTGACATCTGCAAAACTGTAACTGAGCTTACCACGATACAGTAGCACTCAAAAGAGAGGATGATACATTCAGATATTGTCTGTGGTCCCAGGATGAGTCTTGTAGTAAAGAATAGAAAATGTTTTCATCTATTCTAGCATCAGAACAAAAGTTTTGGTTTAGATGTCCTTCATGTGCTGGTTCTTAGTAATTAGTATTAGTGTGCTTGCTTCAAAGAAAAAAATAGTGAATTTGGAATCCTTTGAATTGGTAAAGAACAGCAGCAGTACCAATTCCCCCACCCCTTCACCGTGTTCTTTCTTGTAGAATCATAGAATTGTTTGGGTTGGAAAAGACCTTTAGGATCATCAAGTCCAACCGTTAACCTAACCCTGCCATCCCATCACTAAACCATGTCCCTAAGCACCTCGTCTACCTGTCTTTTAAATACCTCCAGGGATGGGGACTCAACCACTTCCCTGGGCAGTCTGTTCCAGTGCTTGACAACCCTTTCTGTGAAGAAATTTTTACTAATGTACGATCTAAACCTCCCCTGGTGCAACTTGAGACCATTTCCTCTTGTCCTATCACTTGTTACTTGGGAGAAGAGACCGACCCACCCAACCCCCTTCACCCCCCGGGTTACCTCCTCCTGTCAGGCAGTTGTAGAGAGCAATAAGGTCTCCCCTCAGCCTCCTCTTCTCCAACAGATTAGAGCTGATCATCTCCTTTGCATCTCACTTAGCACATTTCTGATCACAGGCAGACCTTTGTTAAAACTTTTTGCTGACCTTTGCCAGCACACACGTCTAGGAGATCTTGCAGAAAGCCAGTCTGATAGGTTCGTCACATAATGAGAAGTGCTCATTTACCAGAAACCGGTGACTTGTGTTTGTGCTGCTTTTAAGCCTAGAATATTAGTGGTTCTACCCACATTCATTAGATTTACATGTTAGGGAGCACATCTTGAGTACTTACTACTGCTTTTCAATAAATTGGTTAGCTTACACAAGACAGTAATATTGATATCTGCTTCTTCATGAATCACTAAAGAAAATTTTTACCTATTTTGCAGTAGCGGGGAAATCCAAGGGTGAAAAGTTAGCTCTCATAGGGGCAAAAGGGAGCAGAAGCTCTGGTAACTCAGTCTGCTGGATTTCCCATTTAAATGAATGTCATGCTGGGTAGCTGCATAAGGAGGTGCTAAGAAATTAAAATAAATTTGGATTCCACACCCAGTGTCCATTGACCGGGAGGAGAGGTAAAGTCAATTCAGATTGGTTTAATTTCTGTAGACAGTTTCATACTGTCATGACTGAAGAATATGGCTGGGGTCAGAAAACTTCTTGCAGACTCTGTTTCAGGCTTTGGTTTCACACTGTACCTAACATGAGGTAACTGAAAGCTGTCACTTTTCAGTGGGCCCTGCTCCTCTGGGGGTTTTAGGGCTTTTTTTGGATGAGGTCTAATGAACCTGTGGTTGCATGGTTCAGATTGCTAGCACAGTGGGAAAACAAGCATGTTTAAAGGTATAGCTTTCCATCAGAACAGCAAGCTGAATTGACTTGCTCTGTGGCTGCAGAGCCACTAGATTTGAAGGAGAGAAGGTGAGAATTTCAAACTGAGGTGAGGCGATACAATATGGACCTACACTCTCAGTCACAGCCCATGATCAGATGGAATTAGATAAAATGTAAAACTACTTCCTCAGACATACAAAAGTAAGTTGCCAAGAAACCTTGTCATAAACTCCTTAAGATAAGTTCTGCAGTGTTGCCTGTTGCTTTGTGCTGACGTGAATGCTTGTGCCAGGAACTGAACTGACAGAAATCTAACTACTTTACCTTTGTTTCCTTTTTTCTTTTTTTTAAAATGTATATTCTTTTATTTTAGTCTAGATTGGTTCCCTGAGCTATCTTCCGTCCTTGCCTGAGTTTACCACTTTGTTATGCCCTAGATCATCCAGTTCTTGTCCCAAAGTTCAAATCTTCTGCGTTTGAAAGTGTATTGTTTCTTGTGAGGTCTTATTTCTACTCCCCTCTTGTCCAATGACTTTCTTGTCCCAATCTGCCCTAAATCTGCATTCAACATGAGTTCCTTCATACTTTCTCAGTCCCTCAGTTTTCCTGCCATGAATTTCCAAGTCAAAGCTCACATCTGGCTGCAGATCGTCAGTGTTCCCTTTTCTAGTTTGCTGCAGCCTCCCTGCTTCCATTGGTTGTTGGCATCCGTTGCTACATGCCTTTGCTGCTGGCTGAATCCATTGCTTCATCTGCTTGCCCCTATTGGGGCGTGGAGGAATGCTTTGCCTCAGACATGAAGGAAATTTTAAAAAATGCATCAGACAGCAATTGCAAGGAAGTCAGTCAGAAGGGGGTGGAAAACAGGCAATCCTGTTCTAAGCACACTGTAGTTCATCATGCATTTTTTTGGCACCAGTGCAGGCTTAAACAGCTTGCTCCCTTTCATGGCTCCCTCTGTTTTGCTGGCATAGCTGTTTTTGTGGCCATGGTGAGCCACTCTGGGGAACGGATCCTCCTGGAAAGAAGTGGTCCTAGATTATTTTTCAGTACATGTTGTCTCCACAAGATTTATGCTCATTTCACAATGAGGAAGGTCTGAGAGTGGGAATGTGTAGCAGACTGCTTAAGTTGGCACTGCTGCTAAATGTTTAAGTGTGCTCTTTGACATTACAGTTAAATTGATCTTCCAGTGAGCTGCTGTTGCAAAGGCTGGTCAAACCTCTATGCAGCTGTGCACTCCTGCTTCTTCCTTTGCATCAGAGCTAGTGATTGTGCAGCCACAGGGCATGTCCAGCTAGCTGACTGATCCTGTAGAAAATGGTTTCTAATCTTTTGCAGAGTTTATTGTCTGCTGGTTCAGCTGACCTGAGTCACCCCGTGGGTGCACACTCATTAGATCAGACAAAAGGGAAGCAGCAGGAACCAATAGCTTGGTAGCAGAAGGCCGGATTCCTCTTTTAATTATGACGTTGAACCGTATCATGACCAAGGCCTAAAATATACAAGTGTACCCATTGACATGAGACGTGAACATCACATCTTTTTTGCTCTCTTTTGTTCTTTGAACTTGAGTTGAAATTGTTATTTCTTCAGTAGCTATCATTTGTAGTCTCACAAACTAGAGGATTAAATCAACACACTGAGAGGTATCATAGAATTACATGACTGTAAATGGCGTCACCAGTTTAAGGCTCAACGTCCTCCTTTGAAATTAGAAGGATGTCTTCCTCATTCACGCTTTGAGCTTAAATAAGAACTTCAGAAATTGGTGGGGAGTTCATTCTTTTTGAGCAAGGATTGTTTATTATAAATATCATTGTTATTCTCAAAACTAGCTTTGGTATTATCAGTTCTTTTGTGTACCCGGAGTTCCGTGAGCTTGAAAGCCACAAAATTCCTCCAAATACATATTGAATCATGAAAAGTATTTCTTAAACATCTGGAATGCCAAACTACATTTCTTAGCCTGCTATTTGTGGTTTTAAGAAATGGATGTTTGATGATGATTTTTCAAGACCTCTTAAAGACTTTCTATCACTGCTGGACTGAGTGAAACAAATGCTAGTGTCTTATCAAGGAAATACGTAGGGCTTGAGAAATACGGTTCTTGATGAGTCGTTAAAATCATGTGTGAGGCTATGTTTGTCTACAGCAGAAATTAAGCAGTTGATTGCTTTGCACTAGATGTGCTCTTTGCATCTTTCCCCCCTCAAGTCCTAACATCTCTATACAGCTGTTCGTGCCTTTTGTGTCAGCCATTTTCTTGCTGCTCTGAGCATGTTTTTTGGCTCTTGTACTGATAGATTTGCTTGAGGTTGTAGTGGAGAGACTTCTGATGATTATTCAAAGATGTCCTCTCTTACTGTAATGTTACTGGCACAGTGTACATACAGATTCAGAATCTTTAGCTCAGGTAGAAAGTTGTGCTTATCCATGTTTTACCAGCATCTTTGTTTCACATGTGTTGCAATCTTTGAATTTTTAATAGGCGCTTTGTAGGGTAGTGGCTTGTGAGGCTTGTGGTCATGATAAGAAGGAGAGTTTACACCTTCAAATCACTGGTTCTAATCCAGAATGAATTTGGTTACTTTTTAACTGCTTTTGCCTTTCTCCACCGCCCCCCCCCTCCCCCCCCATTACTATGAAAGTGAAGGAAGTTGATGACTGGTTCATTTTGCAGAAGGCAAATGCATATGAAATATGTGTGTTAAAATAATTCCATCATCTGAGAAGGTCTCTCTTCAGTGATCTGCATAGTTTGGTTTCTTAACTTAAGGTGGTTCCTCAAGAACAAGCTATTAGGTTGTCAGGGCACAATGTAATGCTTGCCTTGTTGCTTATTATATTGTATATACTTTATGGACAGTGCCATCAGTTTAACTCTGAATTAACTGGAGAAGTAATTCTGCCAACAATTGTGTGCCTGGGTTAAGCTGACTGACTGGAAACTGAATTTTTTTTTTTTAAGACAACTTTGGAGGTCTTCCTGTAGGTGACTTCTCTTTGATATCTAAAGATAAAACGAACATTTCTCACTCTGATCATTATAGCTTTTCAAGCTAATGTGATGCTTTGGCTTCCATCTGCTGCAAACTTCACTTCTCCTGTGTTATTCTTCAGATTTGTGGTGACCTGGG